AAATAAATAAATAAATAAACAGGAGGAAAATCCTGGTTAGGCAGTGGAAATGGACAGAAACTTAGCAGCGAGGGCCATAAAACCAGTCACTGGTGCAGACCCGGAGAAAGCACGTGAAAACGCGGCGGCCCAGTTACAGGTGCGCAGGGGAGAGCACGAATGGGCCCATTTCCACCACCACCTCAAATACTTCGGGCCAAACACAGAACCACTATTCAAGTGACACTCCTTTATTATTCAACTTAGGTAAGTGTGAGAAAATCAGTTAGTGTAGATCGGTGACAAACGAGGCTAAAATAGCAAAAAGTGGTTTCCTTTGGTAGAGGCCCAAACTACGTAGAGAAACTCATTAGAAGGGGAGATCCCACTCAAGATCAAGGCCAGGAGAGTAGCAGTTACTACTGTACATGAACACCAGCTTGTGCCTCACCGAGGAGGCCCCCCCCAACCCGCCAGCTCACTTAAAAACACCGACCATGAGTTCTTCAATGAAAAAGTAAATATTAGCTCTACTTCACAAGCAATAAAATCACAAAATCAGCAAAGATTTGAAATTTAGGGACAGCTACTACAATTTCCTGCCTTTAATGTGTACATATTTCAGATAGGACACTCTTCTTTACGTATGGTCAGACAGGCTTATCACATTTAAAATTTCAAATAAAAAGCCATGTATTCATGCATGTTACATCTTCGGTTAATTTTTCAAATTAAACTTCAGAGCTGCTGATGACACTAAATTCGATGCCATGCTGGTTGAGTCTGTCAATCAGCTTCGTCCTGAAGAAGGCTGCTCCAGGCGTGAAGACTCCACCCCTGCAAGACAAGAACAGGTGAGAAGGCGCACAGCGCTGGTCTCCCTGCCTCTCTGGTGGCATGATGTGCTGGGGCGGCAGCATTCAAGCCAGCAGCCCTCACGAGAACGGTTCATCTATCACGACAAGTCTGGGTTCCATTCTGAAAATGAGCCAATGAACAAAGGAGCTACAAAATCAGGAAGACACCAGGGCCCCAGCACACCCGCCCAGCCTGGCCCAGCCCCCACATCACTGCCTTGTGCTCCCAGCGGCCAGCACACCCGCCCAGCCTGGCCCAGCCCCCAGGTCACTGCTCTGTGCTCCAGGGACAGTGAGGGCAATCAACCCAAAGGACTCCTGCTGTTCATAAGTCCTTGGAGTCAGGAGGATAGAAAAAGGACCGGAGTGAAATAAATTCAGGCAATAAATTATTATGAAAGCATAAATAAGGCTTTAAGTGGATGAAAAAGTTCTTTAAATATAATGATTAACACAGGGCGCTGGGTGGCTCAGTCGGTTAAGTTCTGACTTCTCAGGTCATGATCTCAAAGGTCATGAGTTCAGGCCCCACGTCCGGCTCTGTGCTGGCAGCATGGAGCCTGGAGCTTCGGATTCTGTCTCCCTCTCTCTCTGCCCCTCCCCTGCTTACTCTCTCTCTCTCAAAAATAAATTTAAAAAATTAAAACAAGAAATATAATGACTAACATTTATAAAACACTAAATATTTTCAAAGGGTATAGAGTTGATGCTTGAATAATGGGTTTGAACTACATGGGCTCACTTACACATGATGTTTTTACAGTATATACTAAAAATGTATTTTCTCTTATGATTTGCTTAACATTTTCTTTTCCTTGGCTTACTTTCTTTTAAGAATATAGTATACAATATATATGTCAACAGTAAGCTACTAGTTAAGTTTGGGGGGGTAGTTTAAAGTTACACATGGATGGGGCACCTGAGTGGCTCAGTCAGTTTTGCATTGACCTCGACTCAGGTCATGATCTCACGGTTCGTGACTTCGAGCCCCATGTCAGGCTCTGAGCTGTCAGTACAGACAGCCTGCTTTGGATACTGTGTCTCCCTCTCTCTCTGAGCCTCCCCTGTTTACACTCTGTCTCTCTTGCCTCTCTCAAAAATAAACAAACATTAGAAAAGAAGTTCTTTAAAAAGTTATACATGGATTTTCAACTGCCCAGGAGGTCAATTGTAGAATTATTTGAAAAAATCTAATGAGACTTCACCTTACACAATGTTTATGTTTGTTACTAAACATTGTTTCAGGTCGTAGCTACATTATTTGGTTCTGAGCCTGAAGGCCTACTGCTCACGTGTAAAGCTGGCCTCCTTCTACACAACAGTTAAATGCTCTGTAACAAGAGACCACTGGAGAATCATCTGGCCAAGCTGTCATGAATCAGTCCACACTTGGTGTCCGGGCCTCCCGCAGCCAGCGGGTGTCATTGGCACTCACTGGAGGTTCCTGACAATCCTATTCAACAACAGGGACCTTTATAGAGCAGCTCACTCCGCATCTGAACTATTTTTACAAGGAACTAAAGTCAACTTATGTGACTCTCACGCTCCTCTGTCTCCTCTCACTTATCTCTGCATTGTTCTCAGAGGTCACTAAGACACTGTCCTTCTTAACAGTTTTAATTTGCCTTCATCTTTGGATCAGAGGGAAGGTGAGTGCTTATGTGCAGACCAACTGCCTGAAAATGGAATCAAAACAAGCTAAAATATGACACAGATGAAAAAGACATCTTCGAATTAGAAGGAAACCAGACTTACATCTTAGGAAGATCAGAGGCATCGTTCAACAGGGTCATAGCTGCCTGGACCATGGCGATGGGGGTGGCCACATAGCCAGCCTCTGCAGAAGACAGACATTAATACATTCAACAACACCCAAAACTCAAATGGTAGATTTGATATCTAACTATAGGTAAGTAGGATTTTCTCAAAAAAACAAAACAAAACAAAACAAAACTCTATTCACTTAAAATTACGAATTAACAGCCATACAGTACTTAGTAGGTGTTAAGAAGTGTTACCAAGTGCTTTAACTTTATTAACCTCAATTCTAACAATGAAATGATGTTAGTGCTATTTTTATCCCCATTTCACAGATGACGACACTGAGGCACAGACTCAAAATGAGGCAGTGGCTGAGCCAGGATCACACGGGCAGCTGCCGCGGGTCCACACTCGTGCCCGCCGCCCTGAAGCCTGACATCCTCGTTCCTTGTATCTCTCTTAACACCCTAAGCTTCACCTAAGAAAAAGATTCACGGGGCGCCTGGGTGGCTCAGTCAGTTAAGTGTCTGACTCTTGATTTTGGCTCAGGTCAGGATCTCACAGTTTGGGGGTTCAAGCTCCACATCGGGCTCCATACTGACAACGTGGGGCCTGCTTAGGCTTGCTTTTCTCCCCTCCCCGCCATGACTAAAGCTCACGCTCTCTCAAAATAAATACATAAACTTAAAAAAACTCAATTTCTTGAAGAAAAAACAACTGAGTAACTTTAAGAAAAGTTTCTAAGCAGGTGGGACTTCAGGCTTTACAGTTCGGTCATATAATAAAAATATATTCAATTTATCTTAAAAAGCCTGGTGGGAGTTTGAAAAGAGGGCAAGACAGAGACGTCTTTGCCATCTGGCCTGAGTGAGACTGTGGCATGGAGCTCACGGATGTGCCAGCGGGGAAGGAAGCTACACTTGGAATCACGCTGTAATTCCCAAGCAGGAGTGTCTCTGCACAGCTCTGTAAAACCGACAGCAAATGTCCTTGAACTTCTCTGGGCGACAGACCCTTTTAACCACCCATCAAAAGCCTTTACCCTCCCCAGGAAAATGCACACGGCACACACATTTTACAATGTCAGGCTGTTCAAAGACTCCAAAGAAACCGTGGCCCACAGCTTTATGTTATAATTAAACTGCTTTAAAATGCCCCTTGAGTATGAGAATACCTATCAACCAGCCCCTTTTCTTATTAATATTAAAATATGCAACTCAGAATTATTAAATCACAGTTATAAAGAAAACCAGGGGGAGGGATATGCCTATAAAATTAGATTATAATAATTTCAATCCTTCCTTTAACAGAATAATTTATATTATTATTTAAATAATTTATGCAAATTTATTTCTAAAGTAATTAAGCTCTAAGAAAAACTGTCCTAATGCTGCCTGATGCCTTCCAACCACGTAAACGCACCAGCCCTCTTACGTCATATGCGAGATACCTGGTCCTTTCACCTGAGTACAAATTCTGATATTTGGTCTGCCCTTCTCGGGACCAAAGCCGGGGCTGTATCCTTGACCAAAGAACCTCATTGTAAATGAGGAGCCGTCGATCTGAGGAAAGAGCAAAGGGCTGGATTACTAAAGGCGCCGTCTCCCTCCCGGACACGCTAAGCGCACTCTTCTAGTCCCTGCGACACGGCTCACCGGGGGAAACACGGGTGTTCGGCCAGAACCTGCTTTGTGCTTTAAGCCCAGGGTGGAAACCATCCCCTTAAGAACGAGCTTCGGTGACGGCGTGCGCCGCGGGGGGGGCGGGGGGGGTGGTGAGGGACGCGGGCACAGGGGGTTGGTGGTGAGGGACGCGGGCGCGGCGCGGGGTGGGGGTGGGTGGTGAGGGACGCGGGCGCGGCGCGGAGGGGTGGGTGGTGAGGGACGCGGGCGCGGCGCAGGCGCCTGGGCAGAGGCTGCACCACCGAACGGCAGTTTCAGACGACACGCAGGAGGCGGTCTGTGTTTTAGAGTGCGGGTGACGGGAGAACGTGGTCATCTGGTTTTAGAACTTAAAAAAACGGGGGCACAAGCGCTGGCAAGGAGATGGGGCGACCAGCACATTCGCGGGCCCCCAGTGGGCAGCACGCTGGCAGAGGGCCTGGTGGCTCCTCAAAAAATTAAAAGTAGAATTTCCGTAGGATCCAGCAACTGCACTTCGGGATATTTACCCCGAGAACCGAAAGGAGGATCCTGAAGATAGATTTGTAACCCATGTTCATAGCAGAATTATTCACGGTAGCCTAAAGGTGGAAGTAACCTCAGTGTCCATGGATGGACGAACGGAAATGTGGTATGTATGCATAAGGTGTGTGTGTGCGCGCGCGCGTCTGTAGGGGGGGGCTGTCTGTGTGTGTATGTGTGTAAAGAGCATATGGGGAGTTTGTGCATGGGATTGTGTAGGGGTTGTGCATGTGTGTGTCTCTTGTGAGTGTGTCTGTGTGGAGGTGTATGGGTGTGTATGTGTGTGTCTCTTGTGAGTGAATGTGTGTGTAGGTGTGTGTGCACGTCGGTGTGTAGAGGGTGTGGGGGAGGTCTGTGTGTGTGTGTGTGGTGTCTGTGTGCATGTGTATGGGGTTTGTGTATGGGAGTGTGTGTGTGCAGGGGATGTGCATGTGTGTATCCTTGTGAGTGTGTATCTGTGAGTGTGAATGTGTGTGTGGTGTGTGATAGTGAAAATGAACTACTATTCAGGGTTAAAGAGGAATGAAATCTGAACCTGCTGTGGCCTGGGTGAAATACGCCAGGCACAGAGGGACAGGCACGTGTGACTCCACCCGTACGAGGCACCGAGAACGGTCACACTGAGACAGAGAGTAGAACAGAGGCCGCCAGGGGCTGGGACGGAGGAGAGGCGCGCTCTTGCTCCACGGGGACAGGTCCAGTCTCGCAGGGAAAATGTTTGGGGATGGAGGGCGGTGCAGTTGTGGGCGGCACGGATGTGCTTGCAGGTCCACGCGCGTTTGCAGAATACGAATGTGAATAACAATATGGATTTGACACCACTGAGCGCTTAAAAATTGTTAAGATGCTAACTTTTATGTGCTGTTGGGGGAAGGAAGGGAAAAAGGAAGAAGGGAGAGGGTAAGAGCCTCCTGGGGTGGGTATGACGTGTTTGGAGAAAAATCTAGAATGACGCCTGCATCTCTGACCGGGCAGGTGACAGCGGCACCAACTGAGACGAGAAGTAAAGGAGGAGAAGAGTTTGGGAAAAGCAGCTCAGATCTGAACACGGTCAGTTTTCGGTATCACGTTCCAGCACACGTGGGCGTGTAACCCGCAGACCGAAGGAGGCCTGCTGACTCCGCCGCAGGGAGAGAGGGGTGGGCGGAGCCCTGGGGGGTGGGCAACACCTCAGGGTACAGGGAAGGAGGAGAGGAACAGAGCGGCCACCTGGAAGAGCGGTGGACTCAGAAGCCAAGGGAAGCGGAATCTCAAGAAGGACAGTAACGTCAAAGACAACAGAACGCAGGACTCCGCGCATCCAGCCCACTTAGCAGTTACAAGCCCGGCACAGACTCCAGCGAGGGGAGCACACAGGGTGCGTGTGGGACGCGGGGCAAGACGCTGTGGTGGGGCAGGTGGAGAATTACAGGAGAGACCACGAGCGACAGCTGAAGTCAGCAGCGGAGGTGAAGGGGAGGAAAGAAGGCGAGGGTGCGGGCGGGGCCGGGGCCGGAGAACAGGAACCGGGGGCGCGCAGCACGCGTTCTCAGCTCCATCTCGAGGCAGGAGGCCGGCACCCGCAGACACAGGGTTGCGCCGGCACCTCGTGCAAAAACCCCTGTGAGGAGATGGGCAGATGGCTAATGACAAGCAACAGGAACAGCAGATGGCACTTTCTAGCAAGGGGGGAGGCACGCACCTCAGTCAAGGTGAGGGCCCCCATCCCCCAGCGGTGCCTGGCGCAAGCAGGCAAAGCTGACGACCTCACTGGACGCAGGGGCCGCCAACCACATGGTGGAAATGAAGCCCTCGTGCACTGAGGATACCATGGTGTGCAGGTGCGGGAGGGTGTGGGGGAGATGGTGTTGGGGGCGGCGGGAGGGAGATGGGAGAGGGCGGTGAGGGGGAGGAGGGGGAAGGGGGAGGGTGGCCTGCGGGGGAGAAACATGGAAGACTAAACATTTTTGAGATCACTATGGGATCTCACTGCAGTTTGGCTATTATTCACTGTAGGGCCTTGGGCAAGGTTCTTAGCCTCTGTGCCTCAGTTTCCTTATTTGTAAAGTGGAGATAATATCTACCTTAAGGAGTGTTTGAAAAGACTAAGTAATTTATGTGAAGAACATAAAAGCACCTCTGAACCCAGTCAGTGCTCCCTCAAGGGTTATCTGTTACTGTAAATGCACTGAGACGTAAAACCAAATTAAGGAAAATTATGATTTTAAAGAACTGTATACAAAAGAAAGGGTTACCTGTTTTTGTGTTGGGCCTTGTTTTGAAAAATAACCAAAGGAGAAGAGCCATGGGAACTAAGGGAAAAAACAAAAAGCCCTCAGTGACACTTTTTCAAATCTCAAGGAAAATACTAGTAAAGACCTAATTTCATTAAAATGTCACTTACTTTTATGAGGAGTTGCCTTCCAATGCCAAACTTCACAAAGAATAAAAAGAAAAGTCCCGCAAACATCAGCTTAATAACAGAGGTGAGGCCTCCCACGTTCACATAAGCGGCGTACTGGACCTGGGTGAGGGGCAGAGAATCAGGCTGCCACCCCTGCATCCATAGACTCGGTGGCACAAGCGTGTCAGCTACTTGTAACTTCCTCTGCACTCATCAATACTGAGCAAAAGCACTGTCCACTCAGGAACGTGTTATGTTCTAAAGGCCTGTTCAGAAACCAGACATGGGGAGCCTGTTTTTTGAAGAAATCATTGCAAATGGTAATTGGCTTCCTCTGCCTGAACACAAAAGTCCGCAAGAATGTAGCTAAATGTCGTGATCACACATTATAGGATGTAGAGTCTACCTACAACCTCTTCAGTGAGAAACTAGTCCTTTAATTGAAATACACTGTCCTCAAAAGTGGGAGTCTCACCGAAAGGAGTAAGATGACACTCCGGGGGTGGGGGTGGGGGGTGGCAAAGACAGAAGAGCCCAGACATGTCCACGGGCAAGAGGGAATTCTAGCAGCTAGAACCCTAAACGGGTGGGTGGGGCTCACGACCCCAGCACTTCGGACAAATCTGCTGCTGTTCTGTCTCGCTGACAAGGGCCAGGGCGGGCCAGGGCTGAACTGCAGGGGAGGCTATCCACTCCTCGTTCCTTCCGTACACTTCCAGAAGCTGAAACATCGTTTGCGGGCCTTCCTGTTTTGCTTTAGAAACGTGAAAAACCGACATGACATAGTCGGGGCGCTGTGACAAACACGGTGCACATGTTAACAACGAAGTGGGGCACACTTACAGGGGACTGCTCTAACTTCTCGTGCAGGTAGTGCTGCGTCCGCTTCACCACAGACATGTCTGCTCCCAGGAAAGGGACCGAATAGCTGCAGAGCTCTTGGCAGTAAGAAACTGGCCACCTGCAAGACAGACTCGTGAATATGGTGCATTTTCTCCGCTGACAGCTAATTTGGTGAATTTGTGAATAAAACATTCAACGTTTCAAATCAGGAGACTCTAGATGCTGACGAGGATGTGGAGAAACGGGCACCCTCCTGCACTGTTGGTGGGAATGTAAACTGGTACAGCCCCTCTGGAAAACAGTGTGGAGGTTCCTCAGGAAACTAACAATAGAACTCCCCTATGACCCAGCAGTAGCACTGCTAGGAATTTACCCAAGGGATACAGAAATGCTGAAGCATAGGAGCACATGTACCCCAATGTTCATAGCAGCACTCTCCACAATAGCTAAAACATGGAAAGAGCCTAAGTGTCCATCAAAAGAAGAATGGATCAAGAAGATGTGGTTTATCTATACCATGGAATACTACATGGCAATGAGAAAGAATGAAATCTGACCATGTGTAGCAATGTGGATAGATCTTGAGGGTGTTATGCTAAGTGAAATACGTCAGGCAGAGGACAACAGATGCCATATGTTTGCACTGATAAGTTGAACAGGAGAAAGTTAACGGAGGACCATGGGGAGGGGAAGGGGAAAAAATAGTTGGGGAGAGGGAGGGAGGCAAATCATGAGAGACTCTTGAATACTGAGAACAAACTGAGGGCTGATGGGGGTGGGGGGAATGGAAGGGGGGTGATGGGCATGGAGGAGGGCACTTGTGGAGATGACTGGGTGTTGTATGGAAACCAACTTGACAATAAACTATAAAAAATAAAGAATAAAACTATTTAGTAGGTAAAAAAACAAAACATTCAACATGTCTTGGGGCAGTAATAACGACAACGATGACAGATCTGCCCTTAATTAAAATTTCCTTCACTATCTGTCCTGTGTTCTCTACACTGACACCAAACACGTGACAAGAGGGACAGCATACCAAGGGCACGTCACAGGGTGTAACTATGTTTGATCCCACCAATTTCCCTAGAAGAGATTCATTTCAACCGCCAGACTCTAATAGACATTTGGAATTCTCACGTATAAAGTTTTCACAGAAGAGGGTTCTTAACGGATAATCCACACAAGATCGTCACACTTTAAGATGGTGGTTTTATTGCATCAACTTTAACTGATGTTTGATTTTGATAGTGAAAAGGCACAAATTTATTTTCTCCCTGAGTCCAAATATATTAATATATACAAAGCACTTGAGCTTAGAACACTGCATTAATTATACTTTACACAGCTATGAAGGCAATCTCGAACTCACTATAAAACAGTCTCAGGTCTTTCTAGCAGCATACTTTATTATTAATAATCAGACCAGCAACAACATACTTAGACCAGATATACTAAACAACAGATTGTGAGTGAATATACCTTCTTTTCAATTTTGGACCAACAATTGGGACAGGTTTCAGATTTGACTCTTTTCGTAGTTTTTTCAAATTACTCTGATCTCCAAAACCATAAACTGCTGACTTCCAGGTGCCGTCGTGTACACACAGCCCCTGAGAAAATAATTCAGGAGTTAAAGAAACACGTCTTAATATCCGACTCCATTTTGGCTCAGGTCATGATCTCATGGTTCATGAGACTGAGCCCTGCATCAGGAACCTGCTTGGGATTTTCTCTCTCTCTCTCTCTGCCCCTCCCTCATGCTCACTCTCTCCCTCTCTCTCTCAGAACAGATGAACTTTAAAAAGAAAATCTGTTGTCTAAAAAAACAAAAAGAAAAAGAAACACATCTTAAGGGACCATTACTGACATGTAAAACCAAGGAATGTATCACTGTTTACGAAGAACATTCCATCTATTTGAAGAAGCCATAATCCCTTACTTAATAATCTTGAGAGTAACTTTCAGATAGCACTAACCCTCATTAGCTTGATCATATTTGATATTTACACCAACATGTGCTCCTTCTGCTTTCCTACCATCATATGCTGTTTTTAATATGCCGAGGTCTACTTCTTCATTGTCACCCAACCAAATGGTCCTATTCCTTCAAAATTAGCCTTTCTAATTCTGATCCCTATGTCGATTCCCTGAAATTTCAAGATGTGTTCATAAGCACATTTATACACACTAACAGCGCGGAGCCTGCTTGGGATTCTCTCTCCCCCCCTCTTTCTCCCATTCTCTCTCAAAATAAACAAACTTAAAAAAATTTAGAACGGAAATAAATGATCTAGAAACTAAAAACAATAGAACAGATCAATGAAACCAGGAACTCTTTCTTTGAAAAGATCAACAAAATTGATAAACCAGCCAGATAGCCAGAATCATCAAAGAAAAAAAAAAGAGAGAAAAGATTGAAACAAAACCAATGAGGAGAAATAGCCAACACCACAGAAATACAATTGTAGGAGAATATTATGAAACACTACATGCCAACAAATTGGATAACCTGGAAGAAATAGATAAATTCCTAGAAACACATAAACTACCAAAACTAAAGCAGGAAGAAACAAAATTTGAACAGACTAATTACCAGCAAGGAGACTGAATCAGTAAAAACAAAACAAAACAAAACAAAAAACAAAACAAAAAAACTCCCAACAAACGAAAGCCCAGGACCAGAGAGCTTCACAGGTGAATTCTACCAAATACCTCTTCTCAAGTTATCCAAAAGAGAAGAGAAAGGGAAACTTCCAAGCTCATTCTGAGGCCAGTGTCACCAGGACACCAAAGCCAGATAAAGACACTACCCTCCCAAGAAAAGAACCATAAGCCAATAGCTCTGATGGACATGGATGCAAAACCATCAACAAAACACTAGCAAACTGAGTCCATAAGCACATGTAAAAAGTCAAATTTACCAGGATCAGGTGGGATTTATTCCCAGGATCAAGGGCGGCTCAATATTCACAAATCAATCAACAAGATACATTACATCAGTAAGAGGAAGAGTAAAAACTGTTGGATCATTTCAACAGATGAAGAAAAAGAACTTGATAAAGTACAACATCCATTCATGATAAACATCCTCATAAAGTGGGTCAAGAGGGAACATCCCTCAACATACCACGAGCCACATATGAAAACCTACAGCTAACATGATCCTTAAGAGGGAAAAGCCGAGAGGGTCAAGAACAAGAGAGGAGTGTCCACTCTCAAAACTTTTATTCAACATAGTACCAGAAGTGCCAGGCACAGCAATCAGACAAGAAAAAGAAACGAAAAGGTATCCAAATCAGTAAGGAAGAAGTAAAACTTTTGATTTATATCTATTCATCCCAAAAGACTCCATCAAAAACTGCTAGAAATGGGGCGCCTGGGTGGCTCAGTCGGCTAAGCATTCAACTTCAGCTCAGGTCATGATCTCATGGTTCGTGGGTTCAAGCCCTGTGTCAGGCTCTGTGCTGACAGCCAACTCAGAGCCTGGAGCCTGCTTCAGATTCTCTGTCTCCTTCTCTCTCTGCCCCTCCCCTGCTCACGCTGTCTCCCTCTCAGAAATAAATAAAACATCAAAAAAAAATTAAAAACTGCTACAACTGATAAATGAATTCAGTAGAGTCACAGGACAGAAATTAACGTACAGAAATCTGTTGCATTTGTATCCACCAATAATGAAACAGCAGAAAGAGATATTAAGAAAACAATCCCCCAAAAATAAAATAAAATATCTATGAATAAACTTAACCAAAGAGGGGAAAGAACTGTACCCTGGAAACTATAAAACACAAATGAAAGAAATTAAAGAAGACACAAAGAAACAGAAAGACATTCCATGCTCATGGATCAGAAGAACAAATATTGTTCAAATGTCTATGCTATCCAAAGCAATCTACACATTTAATGGAATTCCTATAAAATACCAGAAGCATTTTTCACAGAACTGGAACTAACAATCCTAAAATGTGTATGGAACCACAAGAGACCCCAAATAGCCAAAGAGATCCTGAAAAAGCAAAGCAAAGCTGGAGGCATCATGATTCCAAACTTCAAACTGTTATTACAAAGCTGTAGTTATCAAGACAGTATGGTATTGGCACAAAACCAGACACTTAGATCAGAAGACAATAGGAAACCCAGATATAAACCCACAAGTATATGGTCAATTAATCCTTGGCAAAGGAGGAAAGAATATTCAAAGGAATAAAGACAGTGCCTTCAGCAAATGGTGTTGGGAAAACTGGACAGAGACATGCAAAAGAATGAGTCTGGACCACTTTTTACACCATGCACAAAAACACACTCAAAAATGGATTAAAGAGTTAAATGTGAGACCTGAAACCATAAATCTTAGAAGAGAGTGTAGGCAATAAAGTCTCTGACATCAGCCATAGTTAACCTTTCTCCAGATATATCTCCCGAGACAAGGGAAATAAAAGCAAAAATGAACTATTGCGTCTGCGTCAAAATAAAAAGCTTCTGCACAGTGAAGGAAACAATCAACAAAACTAAAAGGCAACCTACTAAATGGAAGAAGATACTTGCAAATGACATATCCAATAAAGGGTTAGTATCCAACATCTACAAAAAAAACCCCAAAAAAACAAAACAAAAAACCCCACAAAAGAATGCAGTTAAAAAACGGGAATAAGATATTAACAGACATTTCTCCAAAGACATCCAGATGGCCAACAGACACATGGTAACGTGCTCAACATCACTCATCATGAGAAAAATACAAATTGAAAACACAGTGAGATATCACCTCGCACCTGTCAGAATGGCTAAAATCAAAAAGACAAGAGGTGTTGGCGAGGATGTGGAGAAAAAGGAAGCCTCGTGCACAGTTGGTGGGAATGTGAACTGGTGCAGCCACTGTGGGAAACAGTCATGGGGGTTCCTCAAAAAGTTTAAAATAGAACCACCCTATGATCCAGTAATCACACTATACTGGGTATTTACCCTCAAAATATAAAAACATGAATTCAAAGGGATACATGTATCCCTATGTTTATTGCACCATTATTTACAATAACCAAATTATGGAAGGAGCCAAAGTGTCCACAGATCGATGAATGGATAAAGAAGATGTGAGATACGCACACACACACACACTGGAATATTATTCAGCCATAAGAAGGAATGAAATCTTGCAATTTGCAACGACATAGATGGAGCTAGAAAGTATAACGCTAAACAAAATAAGTCAGAGAAAGACAAATTACATATGATTTCACTCATGTAGAATTTAACAAAACAAACAAGCAAAGGAAAAAAGAGAGAGACAAGCTAAGAAACAGACTCTTAACTATAAAGAACAAACTGCCGGTCACCAGAGGGGAGGCTGATGGGGCGATGGTCACACGGGTGATGGGGACTAAGGAGCCCATCTGCTGTGATGAGCACCGGGTATCATACGGAAGTGCTGAATCACCGTACTGTACGCCCAAAATTAATAGAACGCTGTGTGTTAACTGTACTGAATGAAAAGTAAAAATTTTAAGGGGTGGCTGGGTGGTTCAGTCAGTTAAGTGTCCAATTCTCAATTTCAGCTCAGGTCATGATCTCACGGTTCGGAAGTTTGAGCCTGGAGTTGGGCTCTGTGCTGATAGTGCAGAGCCTGCTTGGGATTCTGTCTCCCTCCCTCTCTCTCTGCCCCTCCCCCAAAATAAACATTTAAAAAAATAAAAAACTTAAAAAACAAAGAAAGAATGCTTACTCTGTACCTGGCCTTTCCATTTTGTAAATAGTATCTTCTGATAAACGGATATTCTCCATTTTAAATGTATACAAATCATCACTTTTTCTTTATTTAAAGCCTTCTGTGTCTCTTTTAAGAAGCCATTCCCTATAGAGCCTGGTGACTATATAGTACATAAGTATTGCATATTTGAAAATTGCAAAAAGATCTTAAAAGTTTTCATCACAAGAAAAATGAATTTGCAAGCAGGTATGGTGACGGATGTTACCTAGACTTATTTTGCAATATACTGCGGTATATACAAATATCAAATCATTATGTTGTATACTGAAACTAATCTAAGGTTATATGTCAATTATACCACAATGAAAAAAAATAATAAATGTGCAGGGAAAAAAGAAGCCATTCCCAACCCTTAGGCCATGAAGTACACATCATCTTCTAAAAGCTCTACTGTTGTTGCCTCTCACATTCAGGTCTGTAATCCACCTAAACTTAATTTTTGTACATCATGCAAAGTAGGAGTCCAGTTTCGTTTCTCTCCATGTGGACACCCAGCCGCGCAGCATCATCTCCTGAAAAGCCCCTTTCCCATAAGTCATGTGTTCACACAGGCAGGAACTACTCTGGGCTCTTTATTTTGTTCTACTGGCCTGCTCATGTCCCACTGCCAATGTAACGCACTGACTTAATCATGTGTCTTGATGTCCAAGAGCATCTTTCTGCCTTCCTCTCCTGCAAGAATGTCTCAGTTATTCTCAGCCCTCTGCATTTCCATATATATTTCAGAATTAACTTGTCAGGTTGTAACCAAAACAAACAAAAACCTGTTTTCAGATTTTGATTGGAATTATATAGGATTATAAATCAACTTGAGGAAAGCTGACATCTTAGCAAAACTGAGTCCCCTCA